TTACTTTATTTAGTGGTCTAACCAACCTTCAGGAACCTCAGGTTCCTACGACTAGGGGGAAAGTCTAGGACAAAGAAGGTGGATGGAGAAGGATCAGGTTAAGGAACATTCAAATAGACCAGCCATCTTCAAGTCCCTATAGGATACATCCAGAGAAACTGTGTTAGCTTGCTTAATGTCACTAGAGGCCACTCTCAATTAACTTCAAAAGGTCATGGCAAGTGGAGAAGGTTCCTGAGGACTGAAAGAAAGCAAGTATAACTCTTGTCTTCAAGAAGTGCAGGAAAAAGGATCTGGGGAATTAAAAACTGCTCAACCACACCTCTGTTCCTGGGGGAGGTGGTGGGGCAAATCAGCCTGCAAATTATTTCCAAATGTGTCAGGGATAAGGAAATGGTTGGGCGTGGTCAGTATGGATTTATGATGAGGGGAAACTCGGTTCATAAAGTTCAGCAAATCAAGTTCTGCACCTGGGCAGGAATAGCTTCAGGCACCACGACAGGCTGAGCACCAACTGGCTGAAGACTAGTTTGGCAGAAAAAGATGCGGTGTCTTGGTGGTCATCAAGTAGGTCTTAAGCCAGCAAGGTGTCCTTGCCAATGGCAAGGCCAATGGCCCCGTGGGCTGCGTGAGGAGAAGTGCTGCCAGAAGATTGAGGGGGATGGTCGTTTCCTGCTCCTCAGCCCTGGTAACACATACCTGGGTCCATCCAGAATCTAGCTCTGAGCTTCCAGTCCAAAAGAGATGAGGACATACTGGAGAGAGTGCTGCAAAGGGCCACAAAGATGATGAAACAATTAGAACATGTGTAATTCTAGGAGAGGCTGAGACTATTCCGCCTGGACAAGAGAAGGCTTGGGGGGCTATAACTTATGCATAAATACCTCATAGGAGGTTGCAAATCAAAGCAGAACTTTTCCCAGTAGTACTGTGCCATGAAAGGACAAGAGGCAATGGACAAAATCTGATATTCAGGAAGTCTGACTTAAATATAAGAAAAAGCGTCTTTAGTGATTAAACACTAGAAGAGATTACCCAGAGAGATTCTGGAGTCTTCATCCGTGTCCATACTCCAGTGCTAGGAAAACTGCTTGCTCTATATAATCCTGCTCTGAGCAGAGGGATGAATCAGACAATTTCCAGAGCTCTCTGCCAGTATCAACTATACCTTGCTTCTGGGAAGGTTTAGCCAGCATGCAGCACCCTTGTAGAACTTGGACAAGTGGTAAAACTCTCCACAGTACAGCAGGACAATGCAGCTCTCACTACGTCAGTGTTCCCTTCCCAGACAAACCAGAAACCGATGGCATTACCTGGCTGGCTGGCTACAGAATCACATGTGCCATCACTTACATTGGCTCAGCACCCAGATCCTGAACGTGCCACTCCAGAATGCAGTGAAATTAGAAATGCATACAAAAGGAAGACTGCTGGTGAAAGATTATAGCTGGCTTTGCTTCACAAGTTCCACCACTGGCAAAAGGGAGTAGGCCTGGCTCGTAACCCTGGTGCCTACATACATAAAGGCCTGTCCACAATTAAGATAAATCTTTACTGAACATAGTGGAATGCTGCTCACATTGCCAGCTCTCTCTCCCCATGCTTTCCTCTAATTCCCTCAAAGAGACTTACTTTGGCTTGAAACTTTCCTTGTTGCACTCTGGCCAGAAGGAAAGTGTTTTGAAAACCAGCAAAATCTGCTGGTTTTTAGTTCTCCACTTTGGTGTAAATTACTTCCGAACAAAAATAGTTCCACAAATTAGCTCTGACTGTGAAGCATTTTTGACCAAATATAGGGAGAGTTTGCATGATTGATTTTAAGAAAGGCATAAACTGTACTGAATCTAATGATAAAATTGATTATGGCCCAAATTAACACACATAATTCAATGTAAGAAGTTAACATCTATAGCCATGCAGCTATATCAAGACCTGAAAAGGGAGGAGACTTCTTTTGCCCAATGTATTACACATATATAAATCCCATCAATCCAGTTAGAATATAAAATAAGTCAGTATTTTCTGTTTTTTTCTCCCTTTAAAATAAAAATACCAAGAGTAGTTTAAATAACAAGAGAAGGTATATGTAATACCACAGTCACCCACAGTCACCCACAAACCATGATCTTGCTTGCATATAATTGATGATAAAAGTTGTTTTTTAAATGGTGTTTTGTTAATTGAAGGACTGGACTTTCCTTACAAAAAGCCCAGCTGTTTAAAAATAAATAGAGGGTGAAAAAAATCTGTAAGGAAACAACTGAAAGTCTTCTCTCCCCTTCTAACTGGGTGACCCTTAAATATCCTACTACCATTTTAATACAACCTTGTCCTGCAGTTTATAAGCTACTCCTAGGAGATACTTTCTTCACTGGTGGTCAGAAGGGGGCAAACCACCATGCCGTCATGTTTTATTTCCACTCCTACAACCTTTTTTATTTTTTTCTTCTCTTTTCCTACTACTCATTCTAACCTGCCTTGTATGAGCACTTTTCTGGAACCTTTTCACAGTAATTAACAGCAGTACAACTCCAAGCAATGCTTAAAACTGATCATGAGCTATTTGTTCATCTTCACTGCTTGCTGGCATAAAAATAACTTTTCTACATAATTATCTATCACATACAGCAATCTGCATAAGTAAATGGCTGAATTAGCTTCCCGGAAAACAATGAAAGTCTGCATTCATAATTGCAATATGCACTCAGGAAACCTCTGAAATCTGTAAAAATTGATCTGTTTTCTGCAATATATCCTGTGATGCTACTTCTCGCTTAGATGCTTAATAAGAAACAAATGAAACCAACAAAACAAACAAACAAACAAACAAAAACCCACCAAGAAACCACATGCAGTCAAACAAGGGTGTAATCAAGAATTGTGCTGCTAAATGTGGGAAGCTGTCACTATCCTTTGAACAGAACTATTTGGAAAAGCAGACGAGAACAGAGTACAGACTGGTATCAAAGCCAGAGAGTAATTAGAGACAATTTCAAAATTAGTCCTAAGTCCCCAGAGAGGACAGGGAATCTGTCTCGGTTCAAAAGTATGATGGAAAAGCATGAGAAGAGCCCACCATGTGCTTGGACATCAAGCCATGTACACATAAGCCAAAGATCAAGGGTGTTCATTTAGGCACAAGGCTCCTGGGAGTGCTGCAGTATAGAAATGTTGGCAATCAGGACACAGAAAAGGGGGAACTGGAAAAATAAAAGGAAAAAGAAAAGCAAGATTCTAGTAAGCCCAGGAAAGGATTTTAGTACTATCATGAAAGCTGAGAACAAGAAAGCCGAGAAATTAAGAAGGACAGGGATCTGTCCTGGTCCTGCAGTCCTTCTGGGTTCTGGAGCAGTGCTGTGCACACCCCTGACAATGAAGACCCTCTGGGGCAGAAGGGCAGGAACAGAAAGAAATTGATGGGAGGGGAAACAAATAACACGAAACCATCTAAAGACATTTGCAGCTGCTGGGATTCCGAGTCTGTGCAAGGAGGGGAAGAAGCTCTCTCCTCTCAAAGGCTCTTGCTCTTGGAACATGTCAGAGAAACACATATGTCTGCCTACGTGGGCTGCTCATCACTCAAGCTGTGAGGCAGCAACCAAAGCCCAAATATCTGCAACTGGCCTCCTGACAGAAGAGTAGCTACTTGCAGCAGATGCAACTTGGCCTTGGGGCTGCTGCATGCTTTTGTCAGAAACAGGTTCAAATGTGGTTAGAACTTCAGCAGTGGAGTGCAGCAACGCCCTGGTCTTAACCTACAGAAAGACATAACCAGAATCTACACAACCAGGGCCTACTTCACTGTTTTTTGTGACAGAAAGTTGCACGGAGCAGTGATACTGTAGGAAGATTGCAGGTTACAATCTTCACACACATCTGAACAAACATGGGCAGCCATCTTTCTTGACATTCTGGCTCTCACACATTTGGCCCTTGTTATGCTAAATTTGTAACCACAACTCCCTGTTGCAAGTACAGAAATTCTCACAGACTTTGAATACAAATGTTTTTAGTGTTTAAGTAATATTTTCCTTGCCTTGTCTAGAGCTTTCATCCTCACTAAAGCAATACGCACTGAGATTAGAAAACCACACATGGATGCTGACACCAGTCTCAGTTTTCCCCCTTTCCCAAAGCCATATGGCTCATGGTGGAGGGGATGTGATACTTCTCTGGGAATTAGCACCTACCTTTTTTAACACTGATCCTAACTTCTTCCTTTTCCTGGAGCTAGAATAAAGGATGGGAGTCATGGCAAAACAATCGTGTTCATACCCTCCACTGGTCTGAAGTGTAGATGCTAACCTTACTGAGTTGGATGTGCTGCTGGATGTGCCTGTAGAGTCCTGCTGACTGCTAAGAGGCAGAAAATGGAGTACGTTTTCCCCAACTGGACCTACTGTGCTGCTCCAAAATAGGAGCAGACACAACTTCCTTGTGGAAGTGCAGTGAAAGAGTCAAGGAAGGTGTAGGAGGGAGAGAAAGGTGAAATCGTGCCTTGCTTATTCCTTTGCATTTATTGAGTCCCTTAGATTCACATAATTTGGCATATTCTTCTTTTGAACATGTCCTTGAAAGGTTAATTCAAGCACTGGTGCAGCCTGAGATGAGCTGCCTTTCATCTCAGCTCCCTATTGCTCCTATCCTCTTGCATTGGTTGCCCAGACAATAAACACATGTGTGTGTCAATGACCTGTTCCTCCTGTGCGTGCACTGTAGTTGACTCAGTATCTTTGCCTCTGCATACAACAAATATGTCTGCAATTAACAGATATTGCAGTAAGCACATGCACTGTGAGCTCTTTGCACATTGAAGAAAAACAGTCTCCTGCACTGAAAAGGTTTTCCTACTAGGGTACCACTATCAGGGGAAAGCTGAGTTCTGTGTCCAACACAGTAAAAACACTGACCCCTCTTTAAACTGAGGCAAGAATTTGCAAAATGCTTCTAAATGACATGGAAAGGATGAGTTCAGGTTGAATGGCACCACAGTCACATACCAGCTCCAAATGCAAAGAAGAAACTCTTGTCTGGGTGCTCTTCCAGCAGGTCCTTCACCCTCCTGCCCATTCGCTCATTTCGTTTGTAGATGAGCTCCTGACGGAAGTAGCTGTCTATTTCTTGGGCAGTAATGCGTTCATGGGCTGGAAGTGTAGCATTAATGAAATTTGGGACCTAAGGCAGAAAAAAAAAAAATCTTCATGAAAGGGGAATTTATGTCACAGGCAGCCATTATGCACAGGCATTTTTGCTCCACACAGAGTGTAGTAACTGCCCCATCCCTCAAGGCACAGCCAGTAGGACAAAACCCAAAGCAAGCTAAAAAATACTTAGTAAACTTCTAATGATGCATGGTGCCTCATTTCTCTCAATGCATCATTTCATAAGCTAGCCAGATGGATTTTTTTTATTCAAAGTCAACAAATATTATCATTTTGCCACGCTGAAGACCCTAAATCCTGATTGATCAGTTGAAGAAAGTAAGTATTTGCTAACTGTCTTTAGCTACATACCTCTTTCTTAAATTGCCACAGGTATGCCATAACTATAATGAAAACGATGCTCTTCTAAGAGAATTTGCCTTGTATCAGAGCCCTCAGGCGGCCAAAGAATAACTGTGCAATTTGAAGTAGTTAAAAAGAAAACTTTAAGAGGGCCAGATTTTGTCAAGAAAGAATGTGTTGCCACCTCCAGTTGCCCTGTCCTGATGGTATCTTTTAAAATGCTGGCTTCCTCCCCTGGGAGCCCCAAGGACAGCTGTGGCTGCACACTACCCTGACCTCTAGCCAGTGGAGAGAAAACATGGGTCTGCTATTGTTGCAGCAATCCTGGCTTCTTGACAAGTAGCTTTAGGCATTCAGCTATGGGGATGGCTAACTAAAGGGCCTGCAAGCGGTGATTTCTGGAGAACAGACCCACTAATTAGCCAGGTGCTTTCCCTTTCAAGACTGCAGCAGACACAGACTTTGGATTCCCCCAGAGACTATTACAGAATCTTTCCAAAGGGTAGTTAGCCTGGAAGTAGTCATCTACTGGGAAAGCATGGAGTCAGATACAACTTACTGAGAAGTTCTACTTAAAACATAAACTGACAGTGTGGCAAACTATCAATATTCAGCTCTGCTGCCAAGAACAGTGCCCTGAGGTGGAGCCCCTCACATTAAGTACAGTTTTTCCCCTGGCAACATGCTGGTCTCATACAGCTGCTCTCTCCAAGGACCTAGGGGCAATGTCTGCAGTCTGTAACATCTCCACAGGATAGTGATGCAGCATCTGCATCCTCTTAAAATGCTGGTCTCCTCTGAGAAATGCTTTGAAACCTATGCATGGAGTGCATGGTGTAAAAGCTAGGCAGATTGATGATCAGGATGCCTGCACCTGCAGGAGGGTGGGTGTGCAGGATGGAAGGCAGCAGCACACACGCAAAGCTCAGCACCAGAGAAGCAGGAGTTAGTATGACTCTGCAGCTCTGCACTGAATGTCATAGCAAAATGGTTATTCAGCACAGAAAGCTCAGGTATCAACATCTGTTCAAGGATAACGCCTGTGTTTTCACTGATGTGCACAAATTGCCAGGCAATACCTCACAAACAAGAACAGTGAGGCCTGATGTCTCAGCCTGAGGTTAGTTAATCTAACAGCCCAAATATGCCAAATTGGTCCCTGCTGGGCATTTTCTCATGGTTTAAAGATCAGTGTTGCATTCCATTGTGCTGCTAAGGAAACCATCTCCATAAACCCAAGTCTGTGAGGTCTCAGAAGGTCTCTTTTCCTTCACGTTCAGTCTAAATCATTCTTTTCTTTGTTTCACTCAATTTCCCTTCTTTGGGCCTTGTCCACAGCACACAATCATACTGATAGGGGACATTAAAAAGCTTGTAACTTGCCCAGCCTTACACAAGCATCCAAGTCATGAGTGCATTTCTCTGTTCCTATTCGCACAAGAGCGCCTGCTGTTCCTTTCTGTTGTCGTTAGGTTTGCTCATACCTAAACTAGCATAATTCCACAGGATCCTTAAGAAAGTAAATGATTAACTCATAGATCTTTGATCTTAAAGTGAACACGGCACTCATCCAAAAGGGAAAGCCAGGTGCACCTTCGCTGCTTGGGTGCAAGAGAGGGATTGAGGTGGTGCAAACTCCTGGAACAGAAGGCTCGGGAAAGCAGATGTGCCAGGCAGCCAGCAACATACCCCTGGCCCTCACCCAGAAAGGGCCTGCCCGAGGAGAGACGAGCACACGTGTTACAGGGGTTAGCACTACAGGGAGAGGTGTGTAGTACAAGGGCTGCAGTGGCAAGACTCACTTGAGAAGTGTCATGGTTGAAGATGATGGAGCTGAGGTCCCCACAGTTGTAATGCTTGATAAGGTCTTCTGTTGTATAGGGGATCTGGAAACTGCCTGCTCGGAGGCTCTCCTGCTGCAAGAGAGTCTGATTCAAAGCAAACACAACCTGAGGGAGGGGGAGAAGGGAGGAAAAGACAGAGTTCCTGGTAAGTTCTCTTTTCATCCCATGAGAAGGTCACAGACACACAGCCACTGGCTGAAGGCTCTCTGAAGCTGCTCCCTGCTCTGAGCCTGCCAGTCTAGACATCTCCAACCCTTGTCTCCTACAGCTTCACAGGTACCCACACCTTGGATCCTGGCTGCTCAGAGGGAATGGACTCACCACATTTAACTCAATGAGGTTTTCCCTGTGACTTGATTAATACAAATGCTACAAAGGCAGGCTGAAGCAGGGGCAATCTTACTCCCTTAGGTGACAGTTTGCCTGACCACCACAGAGCCCCAGGGCCTGACAGGCTCCTATCTTCATATCTCCTCAGCAACCTACCTAAATTAAGCATGGCTTCTCCTTGTTTGCCCTTCCTTCCTCATCTGCAAGAACAGTCACAGGCTTTTATTTTCCTGTTTTGTGTCTCCTCTCAGACACCACATCTGTTTCAGGCAGGAATGGCTCTCTAGAGCAGGCCAGGGAAGACTGGTGACTGTTGGGGGACACGGGAAGCTGCTCTCCCTGCAGCTGCTCAGCCTCAGTCTGTCCCTCCACTCCCTCCTCTCCAGTTGACTGCCTCCACAGGCAGGGTGCTGACAGCATTCCTTCCTCCTCAGCTGACCCCTGGGAATGCAAACATTCCCACCCCCTTTGCCTCAATGAAAACTATGTGGCTGCTACAGCTCCTACCCCCATAAAGAGAGAAGATCAGAGAAGATAACCCTCCAGATGTGGCTGCCTCCCCACCTCCTGCACAGCAGGGCTCTCCCAAAGTGGTGGCCTCAGGGCCTGACCCAGACACTGGCTGCTGATCCAACTGCCCCCTGCCTTGGGCACTGCACAGCCCATGAGGGTGGCAGCCACTTAAAAGGAGCAAGAGAGCACTTTGGACCAACAGGTATCTCCGAAGCCAAACGGATGCAGAATCTCTGTACCTCTAGCCACTGCAGACAGCGGCCACCAAGCTCCAGAAAGGCAGGAAGCCAAGGAAAGATTTAAGGTGGAATCTCCCCAGGGTGAACATGGAATGCCTGTGGCATCTTTGGTGAGGCATGGAGCTGCATATTCCCCTGTGCAGGGACCAGTCCTCTGTCAGCACCTGGCAAGTAAAACACTACCATCTCTTCCGAGCACATCTCTTCATGCTTACATTCATGCTACCACTGGTTTTCACACCAAAACTGGACAACTGTACCAAGCTTTCTGACTACCTACTGGTTTATTATTTTTAAAGGAAGTAAGCTCAGATGTACTGCCTTGAATTTTTTCAAAGAATTTTTACTTATGAGAGTGTTATTTTGTAAGCTCTGGTTACTCTTCGTGTAATTAACTCCTCCTGGACATTTGCCTCAAACACCATCAAAGGCATTCTAGAACTGAAAGTATTTGCCAACATTATGAAACTCACACATGAGTAAGCATACTCAATGTACTGAGACTATGTGAACCAAATTTTGGGATCACAGAGCAGATGTGGAAACAAACAGGTGCAACTTCCCTCCCCTACCACAACCATCTGTCTTCTACAGAAAGGTGCAAATTCCATCAGACTTGAAATCATGCTGTCCCCACTACAGCTAGACTTACCTCTTTGGATCCAAATCATTGTGTATGTAACCCAATATGAAAGCATGTAACACAGCATTAATTCTGGGAGGGTAAATAGCAGCATTCACTCACATCTCATGTTTGTAAAAAGGGAAAGAATTCACTTTGTTGGTACAAATTGCACTCAACTAAAATAATAACTCCATGTGGACTCTTGGGCAAGTTACATCTAACTAAGCAGCAGCTATTTTGCAAAGGACCTCTGTTACATTTTAAAGTAAATTGAACAAAACCAAATTGAAAGCACTTTACATTTGAACAAAGGTTTGCATGCAGGCTGGGGTTTATCGTACTCCAAAGTCACAATTTTCCATTTGTTTGGCTTCAGAGAACTCTTAGTGGATGCTAATGACCAGACAACATTCACTGAGAGACAAGCCAAATCCATCCTGAAAATATGGGACTCCTACAGCCATGACTGCTAGGTCATGCCAGGAAAATGTGATATGTATAATCAGTCCAGCCAAAAGCACTTCCATGAGAATGGCCTATTTTTAAGCTATTGGATACCACCTGCTTGATTATTTACCATTAAAGCAGTATGTCCCTTTCCAGACTTCAAAACAAGGACCAGACAGTCCCTGTCCAGACAGAAGCCAGGAAATGTAACAGCCTCCTGAGCTGGTCAGGTAGCACTGCCTCAATGTAGACTAAGCACATCAAAGAGGCTTTGCGATCTTTACTGTTTGATTTTCATCCACACACAAATCAGTAGAAGGTAACTGAGCCAGTCACTGGCTTCAGTAACTGGCTTCTGGGGAGAAAACACCAGCCTGCCAGGTGAGACACGAGAAAAAAGACAATCTTCCTCTCTCTGCTGTACCCCTGAAGCCTGTACTCCTGCTGTCACTTGCTCTGCTACCCTCACGTCCATACAGATCTCTTCCCTCCTCCCTTGCAATGTGCTTCAGGTGAAATAGATCCAGTCTTGCCTCCAAACAGACTGGGCCTGCATTGCAGCAGCCAGGCCAAGCCATGCAGGCACCTTCCTTCCTTCCTGTGGGCACACAGTAAGCTGCAAAGAGCTACATAAATCTGCCCCAAAAGCACAGCATAAATTTCAATGATGACCTACAGTTATGGAGGATCACTGCACACATTACACAGGAACAGAGGCAACCCACCCCCTCTTCCTCCATATCTCTAATCTTACTGCTGACATGACGAAAAACTGCCCCAGTGAGTCAGCTTTGGCAGCTCTATGGCCTTTGCTAAGAGTACATCTTTCTGGAAGGAGGTGTGAGAGTTGATTCTGGACATAGGAAGAAATTTCAGGATGGCAGCAGCTGAGGGGCTTGCCTGCCCAAATGGGAAAGCACGAAAGACCTTTCACAATGAGGTTGTGCATGTTTCATCTCAAAGAACAAAGAGCCCCAGCTCACTGCTCAAGACTCCTACATCCCATCCTAACCACAACTGCCCGGTGACAGAGCATCCAGCAGCCTGCCTTGGACCCCATGGCTGCATTGGTGGTTTGTGTAGCAATGCATCGGTTGCTTTTCTTCGTCATGGAGGACTACAGCTGTTCCCTGACAGCTCAGACTTCCCCACAAGCAACATTTTCCCCCACTTAGACCCAGACCTGTCACTGTACATAGTAAATGGGGGGGGGGTCACACAAGAATCACCTGAAGTCCCCCACATAGCGAGTGGACCTCCACCGTGGTGCTGTGAGGGACAGGGGTGGTCTCCCCTCCTTTGAGGACAGCAGCAGCAGCTTAAGTCCTTCTGCACCAGAAGCAAGAAAATCAAGATACAACAAAGAGGCAGAAATCAAGAGAGCATCAATGTCCTTGACAATCAGCCCTCCCTAATGAGTTACAGTAATTCACGCATCACACTTTGCACAGCTGGAGTACAGGAAATTCTGTTGTCAAAAACACTCTCCACATCAGCTGGTCTGAACAGAACGGTGCCATCTCTGGGGGGAGGGATGATGGCACACCTACTGAACAGCTACACAGGATTACAATTTGCCATCAGTATAAGTGTACAGCCTCTCAAAGCAATGTGGTAATTCCTCTCAATTCCTCTATCACTCCTACCTTCTTGGAGGAATTGAAAATCCTCAGCAGAAAAAGAAGGGGACGTGGGGGTAAAGGGGCAGGATCTGTTTGTGCTAGCAGAGGTTGCTTAAAGCTCTGTTCTGGTGAGAAGGTTATCTTCAGTAAATAGTAATGGATAAACACTGTCAGGGTCTCAAAAAAAGGTAAGATTCCTGAACCTACTGTTCTTGAAGGATTTAATTTACTGAGATGGGTCTTGCTCAGAAGTTGATAACTCACTATCTGTCATTACTTCTCAAAGAAAACATCAGACTAGGTGCAAAGTGATGCTTAAAGAAGACTACAGCCATCAAACTCTGCAAATTGGGTCTCAGTCTTGTTTACCAGATGTGAAAAACTGAAGAAAGTCAACAGAGCAGAAGTAGGTACCACATCAGCAGCTGGTCTGAAATTGTTATATTTGCTAGGCACAAATATTGCTTACCTTCTGAAATCCCCATTCGATCCTAAAGTTCTTTCATTGCTAGTAATTCCAAGCAGTTAAGAAAACAGCAAATATGGAAAGGTTAAAAAGAAATTTTTGATTTTTCTTAGAAATGAAACCTAAGAATTTGGGCAGATCTGAGCTCCTCCAGCAGGTGGTACAAAAAGTATTTCTCTGCCTTGCAGATATCTCTTGCATTGCACTATTTTACTATTTCCAAGATCTTTCCTGTGTCGGAATCCACAGAAATCACTCTACATTCATCCTCCTTGCAAGACTATTCTTCCTCATTTCACACACCCCCTCCAGCAATTCGATCCTACTCTGCTCCATTAAGTGTATTCATACTAGCATCAAAGCATCTTCTGAAAAGATGCATTTGGAGAACAAAAGTAACAAGTTTATTAGAAAGGGATTTTTTATCTCCCACCTCCCATTTTCACTGCGATCTCTGTTTTTCCCCAACCCTCTCCTTTTTTTAAACTGTGGAAAAAATCGATTAAGCTCTCCAGTATACATATTGCTGCAAGCCTCATTCTCCTCCTGGAGATTTCTTCAGCTGTCAGGAGACACTTGTCCCCTTTGCTAGCATTGTTGGAGTGGCCTGCTAAGCTACGGGGGTGGGGAAAAGGGAGTTAGAGCCTGGCAGATGCCTTTTTTGTCAAAGACAAAAGACCCCCTGCCATCCTCTCTACTTTTCAGTACTTTCATCCACATTGGATCAAAGTGCTATTCTGCATATGAAAGGAACCTGGCATTATTTGCCTCAAATTAGCCTATCGCCATCCCGCTAGCCTCCAAGTCTTCCCAACAAAAGCACTCACATCTGTTCCATCATTTGCCTCATCTTCGGGGTTTTT